AGGCCTTTGAATGGGTCACTGGATTTCTGGGCTTTATGGACCAACATTGTAGAAGTGTCTCACTGCCTGAGAGAGAAATCAAGCATGGACTAAGCTGGAAACATCCTGCCACTGGATGGGTGGCTTTCATGGTGCCAAAAAGTAGATAAGCAGATGACTAGGGGGAGAATTGTCCCCTATTATTCTACTCAATAACGGACCCCAAGTGTTGTACTATCAACATACCAAACAAGATGTTCCTACAGGTGCAATAGGGGAGCAAATTTTCAATCAGATAAAATGCCTGCTCCTAGGGGTAGAACACACATCTGGTACTGTAAACCAGACCAACACCCTGTGGCAGGGGAGCATATAGGCCCCAGTGGGAAGCCACTGCAATTGTTTTGTTAGACAGATGTGACGCACCTGCTAAAGTACCTTCCAAGCATTTGTGTTTACACCCATAGGTTATTATAGCAGCCACTATTTAGATGTTCTTGCTTCTTGCTGTTTGTATTTTTATAGTAGATGGAATCCCACTGAAATGGGCCAACAGCCCGTGGAAAACGGATGATGCAGAGACCCAAAAGTCCAGTGCCTTGCCACTATAAGAGGAAGATTATCCCATGACTGTCATCCCCTCCAAGGCTCAGGGACTTTTGTGGAAGAGGTTGCCAGAAAGAATGTAAGAGCCAGAGGAAGGGGTGAAGTGTTAACTGGAAGTGTACTCTGACCACTAGCCAGCAAGCTTCCTTCCCATGCTCATCAAGGAGTTGAGGGGGAGTCAGTTACCCTTCCCACCCAATCAGTCAACCTTAGCTGCATGTGGGGGAGGGGTTAAGGCTATATAAGCCAAGAATGCCAAGAGGCACCTCTCTCAGCATTTTCTGTGGCTGTCTGGAAGTCACAGGATCTATATTTGAATGTGGACTTTCTAGTGCAGTCATAAATGAGGGGCACTCACTCCTCTATAAATAAACCCCCACTCTATGCTCTGTTAAAAAAAAAAGAAAAGAAAATGATAGGTGTTTGGATAGATAGATGAGAGAGATCTGACTAAACTGCAAGTGGATGGACTTGCACTAGGGAATGTCTGGGGACACTGACTTGACACAGTGGGCCTTAATACCCAGGACAGAGTATATGGGTTCCAATGGGGGGCTATGGGAGGGTGCTGGTGGGGATGGGGCTGTAAAGATGATTCAAATTAAGATATTCTCTATGAAATACAACAAAATTTAATAAAAAACAAATTTAAAAAAAGAAATGTCTCACTGCCCCAGAAGGATTCTGAGTAGAGATCGCAGCTTGGGGGGGGGGGTACACACTACAGGGAGAGGTGCCATAGCAGTGCCATGGCAATGCATTAGAGATATCATGTTACAGAAGCACCATCCTGGTTTAAGGGCAACTTGAATCCATTCTATTTATCAGCTACACTCAGTAAAACATTAGTACTCTCAGATAAAGAGGAAGATTTCTTGGAGAATCTGGAAGGTGTGAAACACGGGTGCTGGGGCTATGATTTTTCACTTTTATCAAGGTCATTTAAAACTCTGTGGTCACACCTCAGTTTGAGACTCACTGATCAGAGGGCAGGACAGAAGCCAGTGGGCAAGAGAGTAGCCACTCCAGTGGAAAGAGGTCCCCTTCATTGAAGGACAGAGACCCTGACCATGAGCCAGGGTGGGGTTGGGATGCTTTAGCTGTGCTCTGATCTAGACTGCTAAGTAGTTCTAATTCTGATGAGGCCAACTCAGCATTGGAAAATCAAGCCAGGTGCAGTGGCACATGCCTGTAATTGGGAGACTGAGACAGGAGGATCAAAGTGAATTGGAAATCAGCCTGGTCCATAGAGGGTGTTCCTAGTCAGTCTCAGAAACAAAGTGAGACCTTGACTCAAAAATAAAACTGGAAAACCAAGGAAACCCATTCAGACACAAACACAAAAGAGCCATCTGAAAGCAGGAGCTTTTTATCTACCGAAGTAGAAAGTCAGTAGAGGTGTCACCTCAATGCTTCATGACATCCTATTTAGGTCAAGGTCATCCCAGAAATGCTACCCACAGCCAGCACACCATCATGGCAGCAGCTTCCCCAGAAGGTTAGCAAGACCAGAGTGAGAGGAGCACTGTGGTCTTGGGACTGTCCCCCTACCATGGGCATCATCTGTCGAGGGAAACTAGAGTCACAGAGTTCTCAGAGCACTTGTCATCAGCCACAGGCAAGCTGCGCAGAGCACTGCTGGCCAGTCCTGGCCTAACCAGTGGACAGCAGAACAGTGTCACTGCCCAAAGGGTGACATGTGTCAGTGTTCAAGACTGACAATCCTTATTGCTTAAGAAGCTGGCTGTCAACTGAACTCTAATACATGAGCACATATTGAGAAATGGTTTGTTTGAATATTGATAAGTGCTTTAGTTCTACATACTGTGCCTGCTGCACACAGGGCATTTGTGTGTGGTAGAGAAGGCACGTTTAACATACATACCAGAACAGATGTACACACAAAGCTGACACCAATGCACTCCCTGGTGACTCTAACAAGGCTGCTTGCTGAGTACGAGGCTTGTCCTGGGAACTAGCAGACCAGGCTTTGGGGCTCACTTGGATGTTAGTCCTCTGAGTCTTATCCAGCAGCTATCGCCTGCCAGAGCTCTGTCATCTCTTGATCGGGTCCACACAGCTCCTGGGTTTTCCCACTGCTAGAATGGAAGTGTCTTCAGGGGAGTGAGTACTGTAATCTGATGAGTGCTTGGGGCACTGGCCCTGAGCTCATACACAACAGTGCTGAGTGAATAGCTGTGTGAGGGTGTGCATTCTGCAGGGATGAAAACAAAGCTCAGACCTCGAGCTGTCCAGCTGCTGTTTGAAGCAGCATTCCCTGTCTGTATTGGCATGCTGTGATGCATTGACTTAAAATTGCTTTAATTTTTAACAACTTTTCTTTCAGTAAGCCAGCTCTCTAAAACAATAAAAGCATGACATATTTCATTTGGTTTCCTAATTTCCTTCACTTTATAGAGTTCCAGTAAAATGTAGTCATTTATTAAATGCCTCCTAATTACCGCCTTCAAACTATCCACACAACATGTTTCTGAGATATGTGGAGTAGGAAGGGCCCAACTTCCTCATGAGTTTCTCCATGTTAACTCTCATGACATCTTTACTTTATGATTAGCCCATTACTAAAGTCATTAAAGTCAAGTGCAGAATTCAAGTTTATGCTGCCATTTTTATCACCCCATTCATACAATCATTGGAAAAACAAAACACTTCATAGACAAAGGGCACTAAAACCTTTAAATGTGGTAATATTGCAGCAAATCTCTAATCCTACATTGGAGCTGTGTAGGCAGGGTAGTCTGAGAATGACAGTCGGGTCCTAGAACTTCTGTGTGTGTGTGTGTGTGTGTGTGTGTGTGTGTGTGTGTGCGTGTGTGTGTTTTGAGTGTATGTTTGGATACATGTGCCCATAAGTGCACATGTGGAGGCCAGAGGTCAATGCTAGGGTCTTCCTGTAGCACTCAACACCTTATTTCTTGAGATAGGGTCTCTCACTGAATCTAGAGCTCATCAATCGGCTAGGTTGACTGGCAAGGGAGCCCCAGGGACCCACCTGTCCCTACAGCCCAGCACTGGGATTACAGGTATACACATCCACAGCTGGCTTTTTATGTGGGTATTGGAGATCAGAGCTTACCTGCTCCTCTTACCTGCACAGCAAGCACTTTACCCACTGAGTCATCTCCTCAAACCTACAAGAACTTCTTGGAACTAAGTGTGGTCACTGCACCAGGTGTGGCACAGTTGGTGGTTCTTGTGATGTTCCCAATCTCTGTTCTTCACAAACCACAGGAGGAAAATGGAGACCTTGGCATTTTTTCCAACTGCTGTTCACTGGACAAAATATTACTTACCTTAAACTTCCACTAAGCTCCACCACAGGTAACTTTAGGTAATCCCTGGTCAAGAGTGTGGACTGAGCAAGCACAATCAGGGCTTACTTCCATCTACCCCTCAACTTCCACATCACTGCAACCCCAGGACAGGATGCCAAAGGAGCACTCAAAGGCAAAGGGAACACCACCAGCTGTGTCTGTTGTAGGTATGGCTTAGTTGTGTGCTGCTGTAGGTATGCCTTCTGATTCTTGTTTATTCTTCCAAGTTCCTCAAAAGGACAGACATCTGGATCCCTAGAAATGACAGTCTTATGATACGGATGGCTCTAACCTTAAACTGACCTTGACAGTGGAAATGGTCCTGCGTTATTGGGACCCACATGAACATGCTGGTCCCAGGCAATGTCTTTCTTACCATTACCTTCCCCTACACAGATATCTATGGATGGGCTAGAGAGGCAGCTGAGCCGCCTGCTGGCTTTCCCAGATTCTGATCACTTCGTCTTATCGTGTGTGTGTGTGTGTGTGTGTGTGTGTGTGTGTGTGTGTGAAAGAGAAGGCAACATGACAGAACTCATCACTGTGTCTCTTTAGGAAGAGATGGTATTGGTACTAAAGTCACAGTAGCCCAGTGAGCTAGGTACTAGACACACCTTTGAAGAAAGCAGCAAGGCCAGGTGATCCTCGGTACTGCTCCGAGTTCTCCTTGGGACCTTACTTGCCTAACTGGGAAACCCTTGACCAGACAGACAGGCCAGAGAGAGAGAAACGGTTCAGCCAGAATGGCTTTGGATATACAGAGATTCACTCAAATCTTACCCCTCACATGCACTGTATTTCTATCTGATCTTTAATTGCATACACTTAAAATATTGAGAAAGGGCAAAGCAAGTGGCAAGTGATGAATATTTAAAATATGCATTAAAAAGCATGTTTCCAATACATGTAACGATTTTCCAATGTGACAGATTAGTTAAAAACATAAGTGAAAGTGAAATGTTACATGTTTTTCAACCTAATCTCTAAAGTTAACAGCTTGTCATCTCTTGACACTGCAGGGTTAGAAAACAGGAGGTACCAGAGAGACAGACACCCTTCTGGGAGCCTCAGAAGGAAGAGGCCTGTGAGGCTGACAAGAAAAAGATGGGGGGGGGGCATGCAGCAAGTGCCTCTCTGCCTAAGAAGCCCTAACAAAGTCAGGGCTGGATCCCCACCATCTACACTTATTTTCAGGCACCAGTGGACAGGCCAGGTCTTCTCTTAGATCAACCCTGCAGCCAGGTGTAGACGTGGCACCTCCAACCAAACACAGAAGTAGACCGGACTCCAGGTGGCTTTGTGATGTGGTCAGCTCAGCATAGGCTCAACAATCTGACGTACAGATGGCTCCAAAATAGGAACAAGGATCTTCCATGGCCCAGAAGACACCAGGGAGACCAGAGGGCATTCAATCTCCAATGGTTTGACTGTGTTCTAGATCAAGAGTCTGTAAGACTTATCGGTATTAGCCTCAAACCAGAGGTGGACAATGTCACAAAGCCTTCTGCTTTTGTGGACTATGGCAGTGGCCAGTACTCTGTGTCCTCTTTGGGGAGGAATAGCATCATATCTGAAGTTACAGCAACTGGGAACACTGGGAGAACTCGGCGCCTCCATTAGAGCCTGGCTGCATTGATGCTCAGCATGTGCAAACCCAGGCTTTCATCACTGTTGCTTGAGAATCTGCCTTAGAACTACAGTAACTGCAGCCAAGAGTTGCTTGGCGCCCTTCAGGGGTGGTGGATTTTTAACATGATAATGCTCTTTAAGTTCATTCCTTGGGGGGTGGTTTTTTCTTCCATTCTTTCTTTTTCTCATTTCTTTATCATTGCTTCTCTCTAGTCTCATTGGTGGGGACTATGTATATATGTATATATCATCACTTCCAAAGACCATCTGCCTCAGAAAGATCTCTCAGAGGGAGAGTGCCCCTGAGGTTGTCTCCAGAAGCATGGAGGACAGCTTCAAGCTCCCCTCTCTCCTCGTGAATGAGACCCACTGGGCCTGGCTGATGCATCCCAAGTTCTTCAAAGTCTTCACCAGATCCCGGCGGAATCTCTCACCCACAAAAACATAGAGAACGGGGTTCAGGCAACTGTGGAAAAAGGCAATGGTCTGAGTGACCTGGAAGCAGATGTCAATATTGGTGGAAATGGTGCAGCTGGAAATGAACATGGTGTGGGCATCAATGGCCTGAACCACAAGAATGCAGTTGTAGGGGAACTGAGACATGATGAAGACGGTGAGGACAGTGATGGTTACCTTGAGGGCCTTGTGCTTCGATGACTTCTTGGCTTGTACCAGGGTGTGAATGATGATGGTATAGCAGCAAGCCATGACAACGAAGGGGAGGAAGAACCCCAGGATGGCCTTCAGGATCAAGATAGCTGACTTCAGCTTGGTGCTCTCATCCTTTGGGTAGACCATGGTGCAGACAGCAATGCCAGATTCCCCACTGATTTGGCTGTACAGGATTTCGGGGGTGCAGAGCACGGCTGCCATCACCCAGATGGTAACACAAACCACCTTGCTGTAGAGTAGCCTTTTCTGCCTCCAAGTCTGAGCCTTCGTGGCCTGTACAATGGCAATGTACCTGTCCACGCTGATGCACATGATGAGCAGCACACAGCTATAGAAGTTCATCTTGTACATGCCATTCACAATCTTGCACATGAAAGTCTGGAATGTCCACTGGCCAGCAGCAGCAATGGCCCAGAAGGGAAGAGTGGCAAGAAAAAGCAGGTCAGCAATGGCCAAGTTCAAAAGGAACATGTCCGTCATGGTCTTCACTCTGGTACAATACCAGTAGACGAGGATGACCAGGCTGTTGCCCAGGGTGCCCACAATGAACACAAGCCAGTAAATGGGCGGAAGAAAATGACTTGCAAACTTCCTGACATTGCTTTTCTCACAGAAGAGATTAGTGAAGTTCATGTAGTCATCCACAGAAATGGAGGAGTAAAAGCTGTAGTCATCAGATATTCCAGGAATAAGGTTCTGAAAAGAACATGGATGGCATTCAGTCAAGCATTGCCTTTCAGAGGTCCTGTCTGATGGCAGAGGTTTGGACCACCTGACTCTTCCAACCCCCAAACTGATAAAGCAAAAGACATGTCTGTGCAGGAGCAAAATTGTGCCATCATTTTGTATGATTTGAGTATGTTCCCCAAGGGCTGATAGAGTAATGGTCACCCAGTGTCATGGTGCTGAAGTGGGGTCTACTGTTGGTTAGGTCATGGGCTCTGCTGGTTGGTTTCTGTCATCTTGACACAAACTAGAGTCACCTGGGAAAAGGGAACCTCAATTGAGGAATCTCCTCCATTCAATTGGTCTGTGGCTTTCTCTGTGAGGCAGTGATGGAGGAGGGCCCAGCCCTCTGTGCTCAGCACCATACCTGGGCAGGTGGGCCTGGGCTGAGTAGGAAAGGGGAACAAGCTATTAAGCAGCGTTCCTTCACAGTCTTTCCTACAGCCCCTGCCTTGAGTTCCTGCCCTGGCTTCCCACAGTGATGGACTAGAACCTATAAGCCAAATAAACCTTTTCCTTCCCAAATTGGTTTTGGTCAGTGTTTTATCACAACAGCAGAAAAACAACTAGAACATACTCCTTACATGGAAGACATTAATGGAGTTTTCTTGGAACCCCAGTTAGTTTCTGAAATAACAAGTTATTATGAAATAGAGTGAACCTGGCCCCTGAGTCCCTCTGGCTTCCTGTCTTGCCACCTAACTGTGCATGTCCTCTCTCATGTTGCCATCTGCCATTCTGTGGTATCGCCAAGAGACTGCACCACAAGCTCACCAGATGACGATGTCCAATCTTAGACATTCAGCCTCCCAAACTGTGAGCTAAATAAACTTTTCTTTATACATAACCAGTATCAAATGTTTTGTTATAGCAGCAGAAAATGCCCAGTAAAAGAAATGTTTACTTATTCAATTATTTTTACTGCACATCTGTAGGTTGGCTACTGTGCTAGCTGCTAAAGATACCAGGTAAGTGAGTCAGAAATGGTTTCCACTCTTATGGAATTAATATATTCATGAAAGACATAGAGACGCAAATGAGCACTTGCAGCATTCATGACAAGTGCTCTAATACGGTAGGAAATAGCTTTGGGTAGCAGATGGCACTTTAATGAAACTGTGTGAATGATGGTGATCATGTGACAGCCCTATCTCTCTCCTGACTATTCTATACCCTCACACACACACACACACACACACGCACACACGCACACACACACGCACACACACACACGCACGCACACACACACACACGCACACACACACGCACACACAAGTCAGCAGTATTAGATTTAGGAGAGCAGAAAAGGGAAGGCGTTTAAAGTTAAGATATAAGAACCAGAGCCAGACCTGCAATAGGCAGGGAATATGTCCTCTTTAATTCAGGAGAACATAGCAAAGGCCAGTGTCTTGTCCATGGATACAGACATCAGCAAATATAAACAGAGCAGTTTGGTTTTTATATAGGGACTCACACACACACACACGCACACACACACGCACACACAAGTCAGCAGTATTAGATTTAGGAGAGCAGAAAAGGGAAGGCGTTTAAAGTTAAGATATAAGAACCAGAGCCAGACCTGCAATAGGCAGGGAATATGTCCTCTTTAATTCAGGAGAACATAGCAAAGGCCAGTGTCTTGTCCATGGATACAGACATCAGCAAATATAAACAGAGCAGTTTGGTTTTTATATAGGGACTCTGCTGAACGCAGCTATAGGAATTTGCTCCGTGTCAGGTGTCAGTGTCCTTGGGGTACTTGAGGTTGACTCTGCAAACAGTCTCTGCAGTCATCAGTTGAGAAGGCCAGGCCACCGGAGGAGGCTGTGGCACAGCAGGAGTTAAGTGCTCCTGTACGCAGTCTCTGTCAGCCAGGGAAGTGACCAGTTGATAAGGCCTAATCAAAGGCCAAGCATATATGCACACACACTCTGTGCTCATACACAATGACACACACAACTGCACATACACATATGTATATACAGTGACACTCCCGACCACATACACACATCTGCACACACACACATCTGTACTCACACATAGTGACACTCTCAAATGCACACATCTGCATACACATATGTGCACATATGTGCATACACACCTGTGCTCACACACAGTAATACCCTCAACTGCACACACATGTACACACAGTGACACTCTCAACTGCATATATATGCACACACAGTGGCACTTTCGTCTGCACACACATCTGTGTACACACAGTGACAGTCTCAACTGCACACATGCACCATGAGTGCTGTATCATTTCCAATGCCCCTTGTTAAAAAAATTATTACAGATTTCAAGCACATGTAGCATGAAGGTAACACCCCCATAATGCTGGTTTTGACAGGCACACAAGCTCACATATCCACACATACAGTGTCACACACAGTGCACATGCACACTTGCACACTCTTATATGCACAAACTTTCTGCTCATATGCACACTCTGATGCACACAAATATACATACTTTCATATGTCTAGACATACATGTTCACACATGCCATTGTACTTCCTGTGGGTCACTGGCCCAGAAGCTACTCTAGAACCTCTGCTAGGGGAGAAGGGATGGATGGAAGGTGGGCAGACAGGGCACAGGTGCAGGAGCACATCAGGTCCAGGGCAGGGTCACTGCTGCATTGATGAAGCCTCCACCCCTGTCCCACACACTCTCACTTCCCATCAGCCCCTCTTTGGGGCTCCCATTAAACCCTCTAACTCCACAGAGACCCCAAGTCACCACTGTCTAGCCCCGAGGAATATTCCCTGTCAATCTTACTACATTTCTTTTCCCCGAGGCAAATGTAATAATTATTTAAGTCACCTGGCTGTATCTGGAATTGACGTAACCCCAAGTCCATTAGAGGGTTTTATTTAGTTAATATTGGTAAAGGTTTAAGTACAAATGTTCAGTTCATGCACTCCAATATCCATGTTGAATAATAAGACTCCTCTACCTTCCATTAACTGGCTGTCTCTGTCGATATGACCTTTGTTCCTGATGGTCAATCCACCTTTCCCAAAGCATGCAATGGTTAAATGGTGGAGAAGCTGTATATTATATCATCTCTGAAATTCAGTCCTTCTGAGCAGATTAAAGGTTCTGAAAGTCCTGCAGAATTCGTTTCATTTTAATTGCATCTTAGCACAGTAAAGGCTCTGAGAAGTGTGTGTGTGCGTGTGTGTGTGTGTGTTTTGTTTATTTGATATCATGATACACTGAGTTACTGATAAAGAGCAGTAGATATTACGACAAAGCTGATGTCTCCAGAATTCTGAAGCCCACACCATAAAGTCCAACCTACTTGGACCCTGGCAAGCAAGAAGTAGCAGGAAGACCTCACAGGGGTCCTGAGATATGTTGGTCCCTAGGTCTGAGTCACTCATTCCTATTTACATTTAGAGGCTTCCCTCCAGCCATGCTATCATCTGGAAGCTCAGCATCAGGAGGGTACATCTCATGAGTGACGCGGTTCAGTGACAGTGCCAGGAGAATTCTACCAACACTAGACACAGGTGCCAGGTGAGGTCTCCACTCCCTGGGAAGATCAAGCTGCCAGAGATGGGGACTAAGTGGTCTTTCAAAGAAAGGAAGAGCTTTGGGGCGAGAAGGAGACTATGAAAGCCCCTAGACTCAGAACTGGGGTGGCAGGAGACTTAGGGGTGGGGAATGACATTTTAGAGGGACATCAGTTAAACCATGAGTGTGAGCCTGGATTGGCTAGTAATTCACACAGTGGCAATGTGAAACTACTTTTATAGAGGGTTTTGTTTTTTGTTTGCTTGTTTTTAGTCAAACAGCTTTACTAGACTCTTACATGAGCCCAAGGCTAGGAAGTGAATATCAAACCCCTTCACACAGGCTAGGAGGGTAGGGAGTATTTCTCCAGATCTTTCTCTCTCTCTCTCTCTCTCTCTCTCTCTCTCTCTCTCTCTCTCGCCTCTGCAGGCACCCATGTCTGTGCACACACACACACACACACACACACACACACACACACAAATGCAGCATCACAGGGCAGATTTTAAGAACTACAGTAAATAGGGGTCAGAGAAGGGAGGAAGACAGAAGAAAGGTGCATGGCAGAGGGGTCAGCAAGAAATGGCCTGGTCTCTGTGAAGAAGCATGGGGAGGGAGCTGATGCCCTAGAAGATCCAGGGGGTTGAGTGAGTTGTAGGAGGGGTGAGGGTCTGAGCTAACAAGTCCAGAGAAGAGCCAAGCTCCACCAGCAGAGGCTGGAGTGCAAAGGAAGGCCTGTACCCACACCCCTGGTCTCTGGACCATCAGCTTTCTCCAGCAGACAGAGGCATAGGGAGCCAGGCTTTTTGTTAGGCAAAGATTAGAAGCCCCAATGCCAACTGGGAAGGTGGCCCAGGGGTTAAGGCACTTGCACTCCTCATAAGTTCCTCTAATTTGTTTGAGACCCTGACCCCATCAACTCTCCCAGTCTCAGCTTCCTAGTAGGTAATAGAGGCAGGTGGCTTGTGGGGCCCCTGAGTGGCAATATCCTTAGAGAGGTGATCTTGGGATGTCATGGCTACTTTCCACCCAGTGTGGGAGCCCCAGGCCCACTGAGGTTCCCCTGGATTCTCTGAGCACAGAGGATCACCACTGGGGAACACTTCTTTTATCTGGGCTGCCTTGCTGAGTTTGGCTGCCTTCCAAAATCCCAAATGAGGAAATCAAGTGATGGACATCTCAGAAGTGGCCTGGTTCTGCTGCCTGCCCAGCTCTGATCCCTCAACCTCCAGGCGAGCTGAAATCTACTAGGGGAAAAGCTCAGGGTCAATAATAAGCAGAACTTCCTCCTCATCTCACTGTGATCAAACTAATGACTTTTTAATGACTGTGTGTGCAATCACATAACTATACCCCCGATATTGCCAAGGCAACATTGGTGTATCATAAGCAGTTTTGTTGACAATGTAATTCTGCCACCCCAAGCACTGGAAACCTACAAGGTGCTTTAGAGGAAAATTTGTTAGTCCCACTGAGAAGGCTTAGCTTCAATTATCAACATATAAAAATCACATTTACCCGTTGACAAAGACAAAATGAAAATCCTTAAGACACTTATATTTGATTCTACAATTAATTAATTCTATACTTACATTTTATGATTTAAAAAGTTATTCTCTAGGTAATGATTTAACTTATTATTATTGGCTTAACTCTTGGCCTATCAAAAAGTAAAAGACTATATGGTGTTATAAAAGAAATAATAACTAATGTGTCCACCACAGGGTTTTTCAAAACAAAGTAAGTGGTTTCTCCCCTGCATTCTTTTACATAAGCTTCAAAACAGACATATGGGATGAACCCATTTAATGAAAACGCAGATACCCCTCAGTAATAAAACCTAAAATCTAATTCCCGTTTTCACATCATGCCCCCCCCAACCCTGACTCTGTGTCTGCAAATACGGTGGGTGTGGCTGGGAAACACCCCACGTTGTGATGAGCATTGCTGGCAGAGGTCTTATCCTGGAACACCACACAGGAAATCTGTCCCAACAGTGGATTCCCTCCCACTTCGCCAAAGCAGGGAAGACCAGAGCATGAGAGTGTATGTTTCCGAGGTACCTGAGGTTACGACTGTACTCACCGGGAGTTCTGTGGGTGTCATGGTGGGTCAGATGCCAGCCAGCTTCTAAAAAGAGAGGACAGAAATCAGAAAGGGGACAGACTTGTATATGCACTCTAGAGACCCAAGAGATGAAGATTCAACATTAACTTGTTTGTGCTCATGAAAAAAAGTTTCAAGCAAGAGTTAGAGCTCATGTCCTATTCCAAACTGCGGCAGCATCTTGGTTGTTACTGATGACACAGAATGAACACAAGGGCTCCCTTGGAGTTACTTCTTTTCTCTGACAGTGTCTGGGTCTATCGCTTGTTTTCCTTTTACTTAGGTAACTAACAAAACTTGAGTCCATGGATGAGGAACCACTGGGGGTGGAGGCTCTTAGGTTGTCCCCAGTCTGTCCTTTTCACCTTAGTTCATTTTCTCCTGACTCAGCTTCTCTGGAGTCTGGGAATGGCTCCTCACCTCCACACCTTCATCTCATCTGTCACTACTATATAAACTAAAGACACCAGGTTAGTGGGGCTGGAGAGATGGCTCATCAGTTAAGAGCACTGACTGCTCTTGCAGAGGACCTGGGTTTGATTCCCAGCACCCACATGGTAGCTAACAACCGTCCATAACTCTAGTTCCATGGGAATTCAACACCCTCTTCTGACTGACCTCCATGGGCTTTGCACTACATGGGTGCACTTACATACATGCAGGCAATACACTCATACACGTAAAATAAAAATAATAAAAGTAAATATTAGAAAAAAGATGCTATGTTAGGGGCTGTACTGAGACTGGGCTCCCTGAGGAAAAGTGTCTGGGTACGCAGGTGGTGAGAGGAACCTAAAGCAATGGCAAGAGCTAGACTCCTTTGAGGAAGGTCTATACCTAGACAGCACCACCCCTCGTTCCCTAGGCCAGCCCAGTGCCATACATCGTAGTGAGAAGACTTTCTCTATGAATCCAGACTGGCCTACTGACTTCTTTCCAACACTACTGTGGATTACTCTGCCTGTCTCATAGTACTGTGACTTTCAGTATACAAAGTGAGGTATAACCACTCAGGAAAAGTTTGTCAGTTTCTTTTATTTTTTAAAAAAATCATGTGTCAGGGCTGGAGAGATGGCTCAGCAGTTAAGAGCACTGGCTGCTCTTGCAGAGGACCCAGGTTTAGTTTCCAGCATCAGCATGGCAGCTCACAGCTCTCTATAACTTCAGTTCCAGGGGATCTGATGTCCTCTTCTGGCTTCTGCAGGCACTGCATGTACATGGTGCACATATATACACGCAGGCATACATATATAATTGAAAAATTAAAAATCTTAGGCTGGGTGTGGTGGTGCACGCCTTTAGTCCAGCACTCAGGAGGCAGAAACAGGCAGATCTCTGTGAATTCAGGGTCAGCCTAGTCTACATAATGAGTTCCAGGCCAGCTGGGGCTATAGGGAGACCCTGTCTCAAAAAGACCAAAAAAATTTTTTTTAAATCTTTTAATTTAAAAAATGTGTGTGTGTGTGTTTGTGTGTGTCTGCGTGTGATACAAGTCCATGTGTGCAGTAGTGCATGTCTATACATGCACCTGGGGAGGCCAGATATTGACATTAGTGTCTTCCTCCTCTATCATTCTCTGCCTTCTTTTCTTTCCCTTTCTTTCTTTCTTTCTTTCTTTCTTTCTTTCTTTCTTTCTTTCTTTCTTTCTTTCTTTCTTTCTTTCTTCTTTTTTTTGAAGTCAGGGTCTCTCTGAGCCTAGACCTCACCAGTTCAGCTAAACTGAGTAACCAGTGAGCCCCAGGGACTGAACGGGCAGTCTCTGCCTCCTCGGCACTAGGGCTATAGACATCACCACTATGCCTGGCTTTTACATTGGTGCTGAGACCCTGAACTCATCCTCACACTTGTACCTAGCCCCCGGAAAACAGTTTGGCGATTTCTTAAAAAGTCAAACATATTCTTACCATGGATCCACCCACCCCACTTCTACTTAGTTACCTAAGAAGAGTCTTCACAGCAGCTTTGTTGGTGACAGCTGACAGCTGGGAACAGTCAGGTTGTGCATGAAGCAGTGAATGGAAAAGCTGCTGGAACATCTACACGACTGACCAGGTAAGCAGTGGCTGCTTCACACGGCAGCACGGGTCTCAAAATGATTTTATGCTGAATAAGGAAGCCAAACCCCAAAAGTGTATACTGTCTGCCTCCACTAAAACAAACTCAAGATAATGCAAATCAGCCTTCCAGTGGCAGAAAGCAGACCAGCGATTTCCTGGAAAGAGGCAGCAGGGGAGGGCTAGCGGACAGGCAGGCTACAAAGGTATGTGAGGAGGCTTGGGTAGGAGGAAGGAGACGTGCTGGATTGACTGATGGTTTCACAGGGGTAGGTGTCCAAAGAGAAATGTTCTGCATTTACATGTTTGTGGCTATTGCTACTAGGCTAAAGTGAAGAGGAAAATAAAGGAGGTTTCCTTGAGTAATCAGTCATCTCTGTTGTCAGCAGGCCAGGAAGATGCTCCTCCTCAGGTGCTCTTCCTACAGTGAGGGCCCGTCTCACAGTGGATCCCCTCCCCACAGCAGCTCTTTGAGTGCCTCATACTGTGCTATGGCAATGAGAGAGCCACACAAACCCATGATTTTCAAGTATTAGATTGGAGGTTGGGCATGATGACACAACCCTGCAATCCCAGTACTTGGAAAGTGGAGCAGAACTGAGAGTTCCAGGCCAGCCTGGCCTACATAGAAAGACCTTGTCTCAAAAAGCAAAATTTGATTATATCAGTAGTATGTGGATCGGTATATTGAAAATAAATATGCAGACAGACACACACATAGAGACAGAGAGAGAGAGAGAGAGAGAGAGAGAGAGAGAGAGAGAGAGGATTTCTTGTGTCTTTTCTGTAAGTTTGAAATTAGACCAAAAAAAAAAGCCTTAGAAATTGATCCCAAGACACAGGGGAGCCTGGAGCAGAGCCAAAGTCGGCCTGGGCAACCTTGGCTTCAGCCTGGGCCACAGCCTCACAGCAGCCTCTGCAACCCATGGCAGCTAGGGAAATCCTTGTATTATCTTTAAACATGCTGTTTTTGTTTTATGACTTTTTATTCAAAAATATTATGCTTTTGTGGAGCAAGAGATGGCTTAGTAGTTCAGAGTATGTTCTGCTCTTGCAGAGGACTTGAGTTCCATTCCCAGCACCCACATCTGGCAGCACACAACCAACTGTAACTCCAGCTCCAGGGACTCCCACACCTCAGGCCTCCATTGGCACCTGCACTCACATGCACATACCCCTACATAGACATAGACACACAAAACACAGATACACACAGAGACACAGATACAGACACACACACACAGAGATACGCACACAATTAAAAATAAAAAGAAATCTCTAAATGTTTAAATCATGTTGTTGTAAGAATATACTAATATAAAAAAGTAGAGAGAAGAAAACCAAAGTCACCCGTACATTTTCCACCTCCAAATAACTGATGTCAACCTACTTTCTCTCTCAGCCTTATTTCTGTGCATGTATGCATTTTTAATTTTGCTCCTTTTCTTCACCCTACATCAAATATTCTTCCACCCCTGAATGAGCTGGCCGCATGGCCTTCCAACAGAAGTTGCCTCACACATCATATAAAGATTCCCTCTGGGAGGCAGGTGGCTTGTTTCCAATTTCTCCATATTCTTATTTTGAAATAGTTCCGTGTGAATCGGGGTGGGTAATGTATTTTAGTCAAAAACAATTATACTATGCTGTTGCTCTTCTCTTCCCGAGCTCAAGAACCACAAACTCCCCCCAAATTGTATTTCTGAACAGTTCTGGGGTCCTGAGCTCTTTGGGGCAACAGATTTCTGCTCAGCCATATTTTGGGTGTCAAGACATCACATAATCCCCTGTGTTGAGACAGAATATTTACCCAGAAGGAGGAAAGCAGCCTCTTTGGGGCTGAAAATTACTTTTCCCCCTAGATGAAAAGTGCCCCTAACTCTCAAATGCTTGGGGGATCAGGAAGACTGGCTCTGAGACATTAGTTAGGAAACAGTCTATAGTTCTAGTGCCAGTGACTTATGCCACCTACCTTTTCTTTCTTGAAGAGTTTGAACAGTGATCACATGACGTCTGAGAAAATTTCCCAAAGAAAGAAGCCAGAAAAAGAAGGTGGCTTCAGTTACACCTCGCTGCAGCAAGTTTTAGGATGGGACTGGCAACAGATGAGGATGATCTGGGTAGATTATGAACTTTCCACAGTGCGGGTATGTGTGCAAGCATTAAACAGTATCTATCAGAATGTGCGGAACAGGACACATCTGCTCAGCAGAGCACCTGCTACAAACCTTCCCACAGTGCCGGAGCATTTTCTCGCAGAACAAAATTCTGGAAACAACCTAAATATACAGTCACACTATGACACACCTACTCCAAAACCACATGTAGCCAATTAAAAAGAGGAAGACAAACTTGAAACTAACAATAAAAAGAAAAATGATTAAGTTAAAATGCAAAATGTACGAATATGTGCTTTGTGATCTTTTCATATACCATATAAGAGTTTACACCCTGCGCTGCTGGTCTGAGCAAAGGTTTTCCTGCAAAAAGCCTGAACCACGATGACCAGTGAAAAGTGAGACTTTCATTTTTTCTTTTAAATTTCGCAAAGCACTTAAATAGTTTACCAAGTATGTGACATTTTAAAAACAATCATAAAAATAACTTGTCGGCTTGAAAGAGAAACAGAGAGAGAGAGAGAGAGCAACCAAGTGCTCTTCCGTTCAGTACACCTGCTTACAAAGCCTGCTCTTGCAGGGATGGGAAAGCAGCAGGCGCCACACACCAATCAGGCCACTCGGGCTGCAGTTAGGACTGCAATCCCACATTAGCATTTTATGAAGGCTGATTTTCCTTCCATTACAAGTCCGCTTCTGGCTTATAGGAAATTTGGAGAGAACCAAAGTCTAAAAGCAACACACACTCTTCCCTAAACCAGCATGCAAAGACCACAGGCAGCCTTAGAGCTTTAAATTTATTCCTCTTAAATCTTTGTCAGGATACTTGTCAAATTTACTCCAAAGCTACAATC